TTGCAAAGAGCCCATATTATTACCAAAGAAGATAAATGAGAAATTTTAAAATAAGCAAATACCAGAAGCATTAAAACAGACTCTCAATAAAATAAAACAATCTGATATAATATAAAACTAATCTTAGAAAGTTATTTTTAAAAAAAATATGAAAAATACTTTCTAAAGATGTTAAAAGTAAGCTTTTAACATTTTTAGAATTTTGAAAAATATTTTAGATAAGTATTCTTAGTGTTCTTAGTATTCCTAAAAAAAATCAGATCTCTTAACTTTTTTTATTTTATATTTATTTTTTTTATATTTATAAGCATATATCATATATATAGTATAAACTATATTATATATATCATATATATGTAACATAGAAAAATTTTGAATTTATTTTTCTAGAATTTTATTTTTATTAAGAATAATAGGAGTATTAGGATTAAAAATAAAGAAATTTAATTAATTAGTCCAAAATCTTAAAATAAATATTAAGATTTAAAGCTTTAAATCAGATTAGGTCAACCTATTTACCTAACCTGACATAACCTAAAAATCCAGATCAGATCAATAAATTTTTAGGTTAATATCATGTTAGGTCAATAGGTCAATCTGATCTGACCTGACTTGATAAAATTCAGGTTAACCAATCATTATTTAATTATAATAATTTATTATCATTCTTGAATGATAGTTTAATTATTTAAGAATAATAATTTTATTATTTAAAAATAATATTTTTAGCATTTGAGAATAATATTTTAATCATTCAAATTAGAATGATTTATTATCATTTTTGAATAATGATTTAATAATTCTTGAATGATAATTTAATCATTCTTAAATGATATAATATTTTATCATTCAATTAGAATGATTTATTATCATTCTTAAATAATAGTTTGATAATTCTTAAATGATAGTTTAATTATTTTTAAACAATGTTTTATCATTCTTAAATAATAATTTTATTATTCTTAAATAATGATTTTATCATTCTTGAATGATATTTTATCATTTAATTAGAATGATTTATTATCATTCAAAAATAATGTTTATTGTTTAATTAGAGCAATTTGTATTATTCTTAAATGATAGTTTTATTATTTAAGAATGATGATTTTATTGTTCTTGAATGATATTTTATTATTTAATTAGAATAATTTATTATTATTGATTATCATTCTTGAATAATGGTTTTATCATTTAAGAATGATTCATTATCATTCAAGAATAAGATTTTATCATTTAAGAATGATGGTTTTATTATTTAAAATAATAGTTTTATTATTTTTTGAATGATATTTTATCATTCAATTAGAATGATTAATATTGTTTTTAAATGACAGTTTTATTATTTAAGAATAAATTTTATTATTCAACTAGAACTATTTATTATCATTCTTTTTGAATGATAGCTAATTTTCTTCTTGAATAATTCAATCAGATCAAGTCAGATTAGATCAAATAAAAATTTAAACTAAGTTAGATTTTTATTTAACCTGATTTGATTTACTTAGTTCAGATAACTTGATTGATCTGATCTGAATTGATCTGTTTAGAGTTTTATCAAGATTATCTCTAAGAAGTATTCTCAGAAAATTTTCTTAAAAGATATTAGGAATAAAAATTTAATTTGTTTCTGAATTTAAAAGACATTTGAAAGAGTTAGAAAGGTTTTAAAGATATTCTAAAAATGTATTACATATATAAATAATATATTCTTAGAATTAATATAATTTAAATTATTTTTCAAAAAAATGATATAATTAGACCTTTTAGAATTCTTTAATATTCTGTATTATTTAAGTTAAAGGTTATTAATATAGGTAGATACTTATATAAAATTTAATATTTAAACAAGAGTAAAAGGTTAACATTTTTATTAAAGAACTTAGCAATTAAATAACTTAAAAATAAAAAGAAAAGAGTAGTAATTAGACTAAAGAGTAAATAGTAATTAGATTATAAGATGATATTTATAATTAGATAATATTTTATACATAAATAGTGGGAAAAACTTAAAGAAATAGTTAAAATATAAAAGAAATAATCAATAAAAAGAAAATGCAGATCATAGAGTAACATTCTGACTATTTCTATTAGGATTATAAAGTGGTAGTTAGATTATAGATATTAGATTATAATTAACTCTTGTTATAATAAACTCTATGTCTTAGACCTCAACTTCACTATAAGGCTATAGTGAAGATTAAAAGATTTGTTTAGCCAATTTGCTATAATAAAAGTATTTTTATTATATTTGTTCAAAAAATTCATTATATATTAAAAGTTGACTATAATGTAATAAATAGACTATAATATAATAATTAAATTATATAATTATCTTAAGTTAGAATACCATCATATGATATAATTATATCATATGATGGTATCTTACTCTTTGATAATTTGTTCTTTTATATCTTGTGATTTATTAATTCTGTGATTTATTTGTATTTTATGATTTGTTCTGATTTATCTTTTGATTGCTAATAGTTGTTATAATTATAATTTAATCTTATATGTCTATAGAATTTGGATGACTAATTAATAAATTTCTTCATAATCTATAAAGTAATAATCTAATTAGCCTACTAAGAAATTTAAAAAATCAGAAATTTTATATGAAATGCAAATTAAATGATTTATCTTAATAATAATCTATTATAGTTCTAATAATAAAAAAAATAGATAATTATTATTTTCAAATTATTATATTTATTATATTATAATTAAAAATTCTTAATTTAATTTTAACAATATTATTAAATTTGAATTAAAAATCAAAATTTATTATAATACGATTTACAATAATCATAAATTTGTGTATTTAACAAATTAATTCTAAAAAATTCTAAATTATTATAGTTGAACATATAAATTATATAAATTTAAATATTAAATAATCAATCTTTTATTTTTTATGATTAATGTTAATAAGAAAGTTATTATTTATTTTATTAAAGATTTATTTGTATAATTATTTATAAAAAAAAATATATATAATTATAAATATAACAAGTTATACTTTATAATTTTAAATATACTAATATAAAACTTTTATTTAAAAAAGAAATCACATTAAAATACTAATTCTAGTAAAATAATAATAAAAAATTTTCAATATCAATACTTAATTTAATTTTTTTAAAATAGTGTAATCTTTAAATAAAATTAAAATCCATATTCTTTAATTATTGCATAGTTATTTTATTTTAAATACATTAAATCAAAATGAAATTTTATTTTGATAAAATTAATTGTATGTTAAAAAAGAACTAAAATGGAATTTTGTAATTTGTTATAATAATATTACATGATTATTTATAATATTTTTTTTTATAAATTATTTTTAGCTTTTGATTTACACAAACTTTTGTATTTAATAGGTAAAGTATACTTTAGAAAAGGTAAAAGTACTGCAATGATTAACTAACCGTTTTATCGGTAAGCATCCTGATTGGCTTTAATTCTTTAATTCACACGGAGTTTTATAATGCACGAGAACTTAAAATGTTTTCAACAAAAACGAGAATTGTGAATACAATAATTAAATTATAAACCTTTCATTTTCTTTAAAAAAAAAAAATACAGGGGATCTGAGAATTTTTAAAATTAACACGGGGTATCCAGATGTCATTTTTACGTTTTATGTCTTTTGATGAGCAAAATTTGTGTATACTGTTTTAAACATTTTGTGTTTTTTATTAAATAAATGGAAATAATATTTGTATCAGCTGTCGCTGTGTTGATCAATCTTGGCAAAGGAGATTTCTGACCCGAGAATTCACAAATACCATGTGAGGAAATGAGATTTTACATCAACTTTTAAACTTTCAACCCTTTCGTTTTACCCGAATATTAATGTGATGATGATGTGCTAAACGAAAAATGAAGCACTTATTTTTCAATAAAGGAATTTTTATACTTTGCATAAATTCATCCAAAGTGAGATTGGTAATCTTTCTCAAGTGAAAAAGAGAATTGTGTTTGTGAATATTTTCCTTTTATGATCCCTTTTTCGTTTTTTATTAGGAGCAAAAAGGAAGAATGATTGTAATAATGTCAAACCTGTGTTTGTATTCAATAATCATACCAATTTCGATTTTACAATGGTTAACAATGAGAATTCTATAAATAACTTAATCCGTGATTTAACTAAACAAAAAAAAATGTATTTTTTTTTATTTGACGAAATTATTTGCCGAAATTTTACTTACCGGTATTCATGGTATTCATATAAACAAAGGTCAATTATTAGTAATATTACTATAATATTCATAGTTCATAATTCCTTGATTTTTTTTTTTTATATCATTAAAAACAGGGGAACGACTCCTTGCTCCACTCGAAAATAACGGGATCGTTCTTTTGCAAAATTTTTTTTTTTTTTTTTTTTTGAAATACGTTTTAATAGAAAAAACAATAATAATTTTTGTCTGTAAATATATGTATGTTTAACTTTGAAAAGTAAATTATTGTAGGAAGCTCTTTTTTTTTTTTTTTTTTATATATATATATATTATACACACATATACAAATTTTTTTTTTTTTTTTTTTTAAAAAAAAAAAATAAAAAAAAAGAAAAAAAAAAAAGTAAAAAAGTGATTTCTTGTATAAAACAGATAAAGTACAAATGTAACAAAATTAAATAACTAAATAAAAAAGGAAAAACGAACTATTTTTCTTTCCAGGATAGTGAAATTGTAAAAATACAAGAGAAGCAAAGAAAGAAAAGAAAAGAATTGATTTTTAATAAGTGAAAGAAAAATTACATTCAAAATATAAAACCTAGTAAAACCATAAAACCTATAAAACCCATAAAACCATAAATTTTTTTTTTTTTATCCTTAAGTGATGTTTGTAAAGAATCATTGATGCATATCGTATATTAAAGAACTATAAACTGAAGCTAAATGAAAAAAAAATTATAATAAATAAGGTTTAATTATTTCCTAAAGACAATAATAATAAATCCTATTAAATGTATAAACCCTAAAAAGTAAATCAAGTTAATTATTATCATCCTTTTTTTGATCCTTATCATCATCTTTAGATTTACCTTTTTTACTATCCTGACCACCCTTTCCTTTTTTACTACCACCCAAAGCTCTACTAATACTACTAACAATCCTCCTTGAAGTTGAAGGCTGTGGTTCTTGCGGTTCCTCTCGTATTTGTTTTTGAACAGGAATCATTGTAGATATAGATATTTTACCAGATTTAATATCTTCAGGATCTATATCAAATTGTTCAATCAATTTTGATCGATAAGTAGGAACTACTTTCACAGGTTCAAATTCTTCCGATATTTCGGCTTCGGTTGGTTGAATATCTTTATATTCTTTATCGCCAATAGTTACTCCCTGAACATGCTTAGAACTACTACCTATTACAGGTCCCTCGGTAGATTCAATGATACCAATATCAGATATCCCTCCTTCTTGACCAGGTTCTATGCTTGAACCATCCTCTACGGTACTTTCTTTAACCCTTTTTATACTAGTAGGCATTTTTATATCCAAATTTTTGAACTCGTCTGGATGTCTCATGAAAACCTTAGTTTCACCGTTATCGGTTGTAAGAATGTGTATACTCTCTGGTGTCGTATCTCCTCCTCCTTTGTTATTTGCAAATAATTGTTTCGGCGGTAATTCTGATGTATCAATTGATAATTCAGTCTGATATGGTCCTGATGAATAAAAGTCCGTTGCTTTTTTCTTCCCTTTCTCATCAACTTTAAATGATGATGGTGGAGCTTTGTGATATATTATACAAAAATACATTAGTCCTATTGACTTGAGTGTTAATACCACGCAACATGATGATAATGCCAATATTGGTATTATCGCTGGTATCACTGTCGTGCTTTGATAAAAAATCTACCGGAAAGGAGAAAGAAGAAGGGAGATAATTAGTAACTTCATTTAAATTTTTTTCCTCAAAACGTCAAGTTCCCTTTCCCTTTCCCTTTGCAAATATACTTACATATATTACTAATTGAGGAATATCTTCAAGGAATAAAACCACCCCATTAACAATTAAAATTCTTTCAATGGTTATATCTGCCAAAGGAGCACTTAATTCATTGATGCCACCACATTCAGAATTAATAATGTTTAATGCCTCAACATCAATACCGGAAAATAAGGTAAAAACCAATGCAGTTTTTGAATTATCTCTCCACCAGTTTAAAAAGTCTTTCTCTTTTCCTGTTTCTCTTGTTATTATCATAAATGTAGACAATACATTTATCAATATTGGAAATACCAAAAATACAACGCTAAAGAAATAATAAAGGGGGAAAAAAAAATAAGAGGTTATTACATTTTATTCGTCATTATTTTTACTATAATTTGTATTTTCTTATTAAATATTTCTATTTTATTTTATTTTTTTTTTGAGAAGAAAATAAAAGATCATTACGAACCTTACGGGATATAACCATTTCAAATCATTTCCGTGCATTATTATAAATGAAATATCTAATCCTAAATCAACGGCTATTATCGTAAACAAAAATATCACGTAATTTCGTCCCTATTATTATTATCGTTGGAAAATAAAAAATTAGCATTTTTTCTCGTCTCGTCACGATGAAATATAACAAACAATTTAATTTATATTACGTGTTGGTATTTTCGTCTTGCAAACCAGAATAATAGTATCAGTAGTATTAAAGCACCAGAAAATCCTATCAAGATCCATCGATACCTTAACCATAAATCGGCTAAAAAAAAAACAACGAGAGGAATGTACACGTTAGCCATAAATCCTTCATCCCTGATCCTTTTCGCTAAAGGTTTAGGATTTACTTACGAATTATTTTACTTCCGTATCGATTGTCTAACATGCTAGAGAAATTCCCTCTACTAATATCGGTGTAATCTTTATTTATAATTAAAACGTTTAAATCATTTATGATCCTTAAACTACTCAGACTATTGTCCACCCCTTGCAAACCACCATTATTCTGTGGTCTAACATCAACGCGCAGCAGCAATTGATCAAATTGCGTGGCTGGGTCATATTGAGGGTTTTCTAATGTAACCAATCGTGGTGGATCGCATGGTATCATCTTTGATAATTGAGCAGACATTTGTTTCGAAAATTCGTCCCTTTCTGGTGACGACAAAGATTCGTAAAATTTCGTTCCTCCCGGCGTTAATCGTACGATTGCTTTCACCGATCCTAGAGAATCCGCTAAGTGGCGTTAATCAGACGCGTTTTTGAAAGTTTTTTTTTATTTTTTTAAAAAAAGAGAGACATATATAAAAAGAGACAACGAGATGTGGAAAATTTGTAGTACCTGAAATTAACTCTCGTTCATCTATTCCTGTAAGCAAGAAAAGGACAAGAGGGGGAGATTAAAAACGATCGTTTGATGGGTGCTGCGCCACGCGACGCGAACTTCAGCACGGTTCCCCAAGGACCAAACCCGACAACTCACCAGTTTTAAACATCCAACGATATTCTCTAATACCGGGTAAATTTTGACCAACACGTAAATCTTTCACAAAACCATTATCAACTTTAACATAGTAACTCACACCAGGAGTATTAAAGGTGGAGTTAAATATCGTTATATTAACCGTCCTCCTGTCCTCCAGTCGAACAAATTGAGATTGAGTAGCGGAGAAAGACTGTCTTAGGACATCCAAACTACTATCATTGTTATTTGAGGTTTGCCATATGCTTACATTACCGGTTGATAATTCAATCAAATTAGTAAAGGTAATTGATATGCTAGTGATATCCCTTGGAATCACATCATTAATCTTAGGAGAGGTTGATTCAATAAAGGGATTGCCATAAGCTAACATATTAGGATCAGATATGGTTGAAAGGGTGGTTAATAGATCATTTGTAATTAATTTCACGCCATCATCACCGTTTGCGACACACCAAAAGGTATTATTGGAGAGCACGCCAACGTTACTGGTATAATTCAATGGGATCACGCCACCATCACCGGTAACGATCGACGTTGGCATGTGCCAGCCATCACTCATTTCAGTACCGTTATTACTATAAATTAACCCTTCCACGTTAACATTTTGAATTAATATTAAATATCCGCCATAATAAAATGATTCGATTTTGATAACATTAGGGAAAATCCCTACGGGAGTAATTCTAAATTCGGTAGTATTTAAAACCCCACCGGAATCTAAAAAATCAATATTAACAAATACACCACCGGCCAATCCGGTCGCTCTAGCCATGTATATTATACAATTGTACCCATATCCCTGATATGCGATACCACATTTATGAATATCTAAAGATGTAAGACTTTCGGTCGTTTGTTTATACAATTGAAAGGCACTACTTATGGAACTAGCGTGATGAACGACGTCATTTGATCTGGAAGGTGAGATGAACTGTAGGAAAAGTGTCCAGGGAGGTAAGAAGAGCGAGTTGACCTCTCCCGTGTATTGGGCTGTTACGATGCCGTAACCACCATTTTCGGTTGGGAAGATTTCTGTCAAGTTTGGTGAAAATTGATTCACATTTATTATCGTGCCAGAATCTTGAACAACTATCGTTTCCTCATTATTATTAATCGTATATCTCGTCCAAATCACTTGCTTTCGATCCGACAGATAACACGCTCTTAAAAATTCCTCCCCTTCGTCTCGTACCACGATATCGCTATCCGAACAATTTTGCCCAAAATTGATCACATATTTAACTTCCTTGTTCCAATTAATTAACGATCCGCATATTTCCGATATGATTGCCCCTTCCACTACCTCTAATCTACAAAAGTATGTTAATAAAATATAATTTTGTTGTAATGCATATATCCTTATCCCATCCAATATTATACCACCTTCGCTAATTAACGATGATATTGGTAAAGTTATGGTACTTCCTTCGTTTCCAATGATATTGAACGGAGGTGGAGTGATGAATGGGCTCGAATGCGTTGGTGTGGTTATGATTGACAATGGTATGCAAAAGTTCTCTGCAAGCATCAGCATCTCATTTTGAACGCTGATGTTCAGATTTCTGATCGTCCCATTTCGGTGAATCAATTTCAAGTTGATTTCATTTGCCGAACAAATTAATCCAGTACTTGGATTATAATTGACGTCTTTTGCTAACCTTAATAATATCGTATTGTCTCGGTAGGTCGTTGATTGAATTACCCTCTCATTCAAATCACTCGTATCTGTGATAGGTATGTCTAATTCTAATGCAAATGATGAATTTTGTGTGAAAAGTTGTATGACGAGTAGGATGATGAATAGTGAATGTAGCGTTGTTCTCATAATTTATAATCTTTTTTTTTATTTTTTTTTTTAAAAAAAATCGATGTGATGATTTTTCTTTTTTTTTTTTTCCCTTTTTTTTGTTCTTTTTTCGTAGGATGTGAGACGAATCTTAAAGATTGGATGGTTAAAGATATTCTTTAAATAATCATAGCAAATTTTTTTTTTTTATTTGTTCGAGGGAAAAAAAGGGCAAGGGAAAAGGGAAAAGGGAAAAAGAAAAAAAAAAAACTAAGCGAAGCGCACGAAATGTTTGTGTATATAATTAATTAATTAATGGATAAATAAATTATTTATTTAGATAAGAAACTTTTTTTTTTTATTTTTCCTATAAATAAACCCAAGGAGAAGGTTAAGGAATAAGTGAGAACTGGTAAAAGAAATGAGAGCAAAAATCGGTTAAGAAAACTTAAAAAAAAAAAGTGACTAATTTAATAACATATTTCATTCAAATGATGAATATTCAAAAAAAAACAAGCTAAATGAGTTATCATTAGATTTATTCTTAGTTTGGGAATTTTTATTTCAAAAAAAAAAAAAATTAAAAAAAAAAATTTTTATTTGTAAGTTACAACTATTTATATAAATATATATATATATACACGCACGGGTATGATATAATTGACACAGATAAAATAAATTTTTTTTTTTTTAATATTAAGTAACACTGTTATTCACATATAGAGTATTTAAAGTATTATAACTTTAACAATCACACAATTATCATTCATTTGGAAAATCTTCCCGATATATTGATTTAATAAAAATAGACTACGAATTTATAATAACAAGATAAATAAATAATACATTAAAAGCAATATAGTAGTAAATCATAGTTGAATAAGTAAATATATTTGTTCAACTTTTTTTTTTTTTTGAAAAAAAGATCCGTAGTTGTTACTTTAAGTTGTTACTTATTTGATGTCATATTAAAACATTTCCCTTTATTAATTCCATCTATAAATAAATTCTATATTTAGATTCCACATGCGGAAATCTCCCCGGAGATACTTTTGAGATTTATGCCGCAGTTCGGTTTCTACGTTTTACGGTTCTACGTCGATCACCCACCTCAACCCACTCCGTAAAGTTTCGCTTGCGCTTTCATCTATTTCCTCGAAAAGACTTCCCAATCATCATTATTTTACTAATTAAGATCGGAGAATGGGTTTCACAATGCACCTTGGTGTGTAATGTACCCCTTACAGTTAGATCCGTGTAAATAGGGAAATGAAAGAACCGCAGCCGACTCCGTTTTTTAATTAAAGTTTATTCAAGTAAAAACAACAATCGAAAAAAGTTAAGGGAGATACAATAAAAAAAAATTATATTCGCATGTGCAAATTTTATCTCCAAGCATCATTTCAACTAGATTTGAAACATGCCACGCGTGCCCTCCTCTTTTATCATGTTGCCTTAATTGCGCGGACTTCATTATTACAATTTTGGTCTTCAAAGACCACTACAAAATGTATTGTTAATTGCGAACGGTTCATTTACCGTGCATAATTCGCACGTGAATTGTAATATTTGTTTGGTTTGGGAATATGCAATGTACATTTCGGCTCCACTTAGTTTATTTTATATCACATATTTGGTGGAAAATTTTAAAATTCCAAATTTTCTAGATGCATATTTGTTTACCCAATGAAACGTTTTTGACATTTTTTATTAAAAAAAAAAATTCATATGTATTAGGAATGTAGCATGGAATGAATATATAATATTTGTAACGCTCAACAGTAATTGTCTTTCCAATATAGTAATTTGGCATGACATTTATTGTTGTTTGATATTGGATGTATAAGAAAATGACTGATTAATGAATGATGTAAATTTTGTAGGATGAATTTGACATACATTATGACAATGGAAGGGGCATGCATATTCGCATCCAAAGGTTTATTATTATTCAAACATTGCTTTTTACATTATTATAGGATTCCTTGTTAATCACAAACGATCGTCAAGAAAAAAAAAAATTTCCTCATTAGAACGCAAAAAGCCAAATTACCAAAAATAAAAAGTTATGCAAAAGAACCAATTATATGGTATACTTAAAATTTTCCGTGGAAAGGGGGGTTAAATTTTTTTTTTTTTTAAAAAAAAAATAATTTATTATTTCCTAATTTGAATAACAATGCGTAAAAACAACTCTGGTCATTAGCAAAACAGTAAAATAATTTACGGTATCATACATAATTGATACGTAACGAAATTTACATGGATGGACGAAAAAAACCATCAACGCGAAAGAGCACCTGAAATAATACAAGAACCTAAATGGAAATTATTAATCATTATCACGAAATTCATTTCTCATTATTGGTTAGTACGTTATGTAACGAACGGTGGGTGGGTAACGGTACGGTATGACCGTTAATGATGTAATCCTCAAGATGATTTTATGTTCTTTTTTTATATTTAATAATGCTAAATTATTTTTAAATGTAACACAATTTCTCATTTAGAGTAATGTCAATAGAAATCAGATGAGATCAAATCATGAAAATGAACTAAACCTAAAATCAAATTCTATTACAAATAAGGATAAATTTAATGGAAGGGTAACGCTAACCTTATGCGAATGGTATCCACGTTTTCCCTTACAACCTTTTCAAAGATATCCATGTGATGTTTTAAAATACCGGTGTTAAACCATCCTATGCAAAGGGTAAAAAATAACAACCAAAGACAAGGAAAAACGGGATCATCATTTGACAAGGAATTCATGAAACGCGTTATTTTACAAATAAATGTTTGTTACAAGAATCATACGAGAATTTATCAGAGTAACAATTACGGGTCATCTCCCTCATCAATAATCAGATTTTGATGTACGGAATAAGATATACCCGTTGTGGCTTCACATCCTTAATTAGAATGTAGCGGGAAAATACAAATCTTAATAAATTTATATATAGTGCCAATCCACTTCGAACACCTCAACAAGTCGGAGATATCACCCTTGTGATGCTTGCGTGTGCTACATGTAATACTAGTAATACGAATCAAAAAAACCTTCACGTCAATTTTTTTTTTTTTTTGCATTTATTAAAAGAATGTGCGTTGACGAATAATAATGTATGGTCAATCTTTTTTTTTGAAGAAATGATTCAAAAGTTCCCAAATTAACCAAATTAAATGTAATGCTGTATGTGGTATATTGGAGTTTCACAATTGCACCACCACATTGAACGATCTTTCATTTGATATTATCCGTTTTTTCCTTTGGTCATGGGCTTATACATATGGCTTATTCGTCTATTTATTTTTAAATCAGAGGAGATAAATCTCGCGATCAAAAAAATTCCAAATTTCATGTGTATTTTAGCCTTCTTTACACAGAACCTTGTGTTTAACAAATCAGAACGGGTTATCATTTTTATTTTGAAGTTCCTTTTTATGGTTAATAATTTCTATCGGAAGTTTTTCTAAGGCTGTGCTTAAAATAAACACGGGAATCGCCGCATTCTTTTCTTGATGTTTGTTGTTTTCTTTAACATGTTCGCTTGAAATTTTTCTTTTGGGAATAAAACAAATCTGTTTACCGAAAAGATCTTGTAAATATTTTTTAACTTTGTTTTGGTGAAACACTCTTAAACGTTCGTTCGAAACGATAGATGAAAAATAAAAAAAAAAAAAGGGGTAAAAAAAAGATCTTTTTGTATTTTGTGAAACTCGAGGAAATCTTTTTTTTTTTTTTTTTTAAACGTTAATTTTATTATAGATTATTTATTTTTGAAAATTTCGCGTTCTATTTTTTTATTTTTTATTTTTTTTATTTAATTATTATTTTTATTTTTTTTATTTTTTACATCTAAATTTTAATTACTCCGAATAACCAAATTTCCGAAGATCGTGTCCCCAAAAACCAATTGTTGAATCAAATTAAATTAATTGTTTATTTTTAATTATTTCATAATGATGATTTTAAATTATTGCAGCAGTTGTTGATTTCTTTTTAAGGAAATTTGATTTGAAAATTTTGCATAAGATAATAACTTAAAATTATTTATAATTCTACAGTTTTTTATAAATCGAAATCAAATTTCAAAAAAAAAAAATTTTTTTTTTTTCCCTTAATTTTTTTAAGACGAAAATAAAAAAAATATTTTTAGATTGGAAATCCTTAAAATTGAAATATTTATAAATAATTCTTTTTTAGGTCAGTAAAATCAATTTTCTACTGAAAGCGCAACAATAAGATTTCTAAAATAAGGTAATCGGAATAAAAAAGAGTCATTTCTTTGTTATTGTTAATAGAAAGATAAAATGAACAGAGTTTATAAAAAATTTTAATAAAATTTTTTTTCCTTTTTTCATTTTTCTTGTCTTTATGTTGTGGTTGAGATTATCAAGAAGTCCCCCCCCCTTTTTTTTTTTGACATACGCTTCAAAAAATCTCGCTCCCTTTTTTTTTTTTTTTTTAATAAATCAACTTGCCATTTTTGTTTTATTTTAGGTTGAAATGAAATATTTATAGGTTGAAAATTCTAAAAATTGAATTCGACTTTATTTTTAATTTAAATTTTTTTTTTCTTATTTAAATAATAAACAAACAATGGAGTTGGTTTAACCCATTTTATTACGGAACAGCCCGTTGTCTGAAATAGAAAAAAAAAAAAAAAAAATAATAATAATAAATGAATTTTAAATTTATTTTTAAGTTGACCAATGTTTTGTGCTCATCCCAATATTTTACAATGTACTTTTTATCAACATTTCAAAAAAAAAAAACGGATTGATTGATGAATCTACCTTGATTCAATATGTTCGCGTGAAAATAATATTTAAAATTTTGGATGAATTATTCAGGTTATTCTATCTTAAATTATAGGTGATGAGAATTAAGAAGCTTCTTAATTGCATACATAATACAATGTGATTTCTCATTTTTCCAAAGGATTAAATTATTTTAAGCTTTCTTTTGATGCCAAAATAACTGTCTTTTGCCAAAGGAAAGTGAACGTCAAAGGTGTCATTAAGTAAACACGAGAGAGAGTTAAACATGGAATCAAAGGTAAACGCAAATTGAAACAGAAAGAACAAAGAATGATGTTTTTATTTAATTAAAGTCCTGTTTTTATTTGTGTCTCGTTTGTTTTTACCATACCATATTTCTTTATAACAAAGTTATTGGAAATTAACATTACTTGAAGTTGGATTAACACGACAGTGGGTTGCCCAATGAAGAGTTATTTAATTCATAGACAAATTCAAGCCCTATATGATTTCCTGCTGCGGGAGAAAAGCTGACCCGAAACAGGAATAATTCCAATCTTTTGGTAAGTTTAATATCGTTTTTATTTGACCCTGTATTTTGGATAAAAACATTGTATAACATATGAATGACCACCCTTCCATATGGTCAGTGATGTGCATTTTATCATTTTATGTTTCCAATAGTATAAATTTTGATTGGAAGCTTCCAACCCAAATGAATTTATTAGAGAATTATGCTTCCAACCCTTCCAAAGGTACACTTACAAGAGTGCTTCCAATCTTCCAAGTGCACATCAACTGCGTATTTAAATAGGGGATATCTGGTACAAAAAGATTTATTTAATTTCTAGAATTGACAATTATCTGATTTTTTTTTTTTCTTTTCTCCATAGAATTACACAATAATAATTTACGAGAAACGTTTATGGCGCAGCAACGTCAGCCGAAAAATCATATCATCTTGCTATGAAACATCTAAAAAGGGCTGAAGAACGATCCAATGAGGTCATGATTTATCTTTGACAGACACGAATTTTTGTCATGATTACACTTAAGAAATTATACATGAGAGAAAAAAGCAAAAGATCTTTTTTTTTAAAAAAAAAGCGCTACACGCGTGGAAGAAAAGAAAAATATTATGCTGCGCGTGATGGACATCGAAAGGGGATGAAATCATCTTTTGTTTTCCAATGGGACTAACCAAAGAAATCCAAGGTATTAAGCCGATTGCATAATGTTTTCCCTTTTGATAGCATATGAAAGGGGTATGATTTTTTTACCTTCGGTTACCAGCCTGAAAACAAAAAAACCTAGCATCCCCGAAATAACCTGAAATTTTCCCGATCCCCGAAATTGATTTTGACACGTAAAAGTGATCGGAAATTACTATGACCTTTTTAGTTTTCTTACTATGGCTATATTACTTTATCGCTTTTTTGTATCATCACGAAGCAAAACAAATCTTGCCTTTTCTTTTTTTTTTCACACGATACCAAATCGGGTTAAACCCGCAATCTCACGACCCGACGATAACTTATTGATCAACTCTTCCGTCATTCCACTGCATGTTTTAATAACGGACGAGCGAATTAAAACGACATTTTTTTATCATGTAATATATAAATGATTAGCACAAGAAGATCTTTAAATATCTTTGACGTTATCGAAATCCCCTTTTAATAAAGGTTTATTTATTTATATATGGAGTTCGAATTTTTCAATGAATTCAATAATCGTTTTGAAATATTGTCCCAAAAAGAAAAAGAAATAAAAAAAAAATAATCCAAAAATTTAAAAAATGACATTTACTTCGAAATGCAATAAAATTTTCGTCCCAACGGAAATCCTACAAAAAATCACTTTGCACATTGTGGATGACAAATCTTCATTACATTCATGTGCCCTAGTGTCAAGGCATTGGTGTGCGAGCTTAATGGAAATATTATGGAGTCAACCGTTTCACCTCTCCAATTCACCTCTTCTAATCAAGACGTACTTATCATTCTTGTCCGAAACCTCCCATGATCAATTAAAGCTTGAGAAATGTGTCAGAACCAAGGAGAAGGAATCAAAGTTCGTGTTTGATTACCCTTCGTTTCTAAGGAAGTTATCAATTCCATTATTATGTGATGCGATAGGAGAGTACCTTCGAAGAGAATTAAACATGACCGAGCTTCTCTCTTCAAAAGTGTACATTGGTTCGTTAACGTTACAAATCCAAGCCGCATCTGATCTTCAATTATTCCTTGACAAGCAAAATGTTATTTTACGTGAAATGTGTAAATTAATTTATAATAAAGTCAACATGATAAATGAATTCGAGCTTTATATGTGCGTTGGCAGAGAGGAGGATGCGTCGTTCTTTGATCGACCAGAAAGTTGTCTGGCCGTGGAAGAATTGATGAAATCACGAGATTGTTTTAGAGGTTTGAAGGTTTTGGAATATTCCGGGAAGGGTGAAGTGCTTGATTTCTTGTCAAAACATTGTAAGAGGATCGAAACATTAAAATTGCTTCCCATCACCAATTCAATACCACTCAAAATCAAATGTTACATCGATCCTTCAATTCAGTTGATCAATTCACAAAAAAACCTACATAATTTAGAAATTCATAATTGGGTCACCCCCACCATCACGTCCCTTTTACAATCCATTCGGTCCCAAACTGATTCTTTAAGAAGCATCAAGATTATGAATTGTAACCTTTATAAAGGTCAACCGTTATGGACTTTATCAGAATGTCAAAATTTAGAAGAAATAATAATTAAAGGAAATCGTAACTTCAATGAGAGATTACTCGTGCCTCTAATGAAAGCCAAATTTCATAATTTGAAATCATTTATTTATAAATATCAAATGAACGATTTCATCAATGGTGTTATCATTAACGAAGAAGAATTTATCGAGGATGATGTAGATTTAAATGAAATATTTTCTCGCGTTGTATTAAACTCCAAGGATAATTTAAATACCGTGGTCATTAATGGATTCAAAACTTCTCAATCTCTAAGAAATACATTAAATTCGCTCATAGAATGTAGACATTTGATCGAATTAGATATTACGCTTGAGAGATCCGAAGAATTGTTACCTTTATTGTTATCGATCATTGAAAGGAATCAATCACTTGAGAAGCTATGCATCACATCAAACACTCCCAACCAAGCCGAGGATCACGTTGATGTGAGACAAGTGTTACATTCGTTCGCGGAAGCGCTTCCTCAAACATTTAAATCTCTCAGATTATTTACACCAGATTGGTGGTTTAGCACGAGCACTTTAAAACGATTCTTGGGAGACGCCAAGTTTAGGATCGAATCGATGTGTTGGATGAATCAAGGATGTTATCTAGAGTGTAGTGAGGTGCTAAGGCAATATGTCAAATTAAATGACTGCAAGTTGTTATTTGGAGAAGATTGCGAGTTTTCCAGCTATAATTTGGGAACGTTTAAGATTAAAGTAACATTTAACTTTTAAAATTTTTAAATCTTTTTCAAATTTTATTTTAAATGCTTGAATTTCGAAAACCTAGAATTATAATAATACAAAAAAAAAATAATAAAAATCTCTATCTTGGAAATTATCAAAGATAAATGACTGCTACATGAACAACGTTACTAATATACAAGCTAAGGCTATTATTAATACATTGATGCCAATGGGTGAATTAATCCTGCCGTTGTTTGACATTTTTTTATTATTAGTGCCTTCATTAACATCATCAGGTACAGGTTTAATAGCAAAAGGTTCTTTGTTAGGAAATTTAGCACTTGGCAACTCGACAGGAGGAACATATTTATCCTTGATTTCATACCTAAAAATAAACCAATAAAATCAAAAATGTTAATTTCACGAATAAATTGAATTAAAAAAAAAAAAAAAAAAAAAAAAAAAAAAAATATATATATATATTTTTTTTTTCTTTTGAATTTGAATTTACCCCATCGATTGTAAGATCCCTCGCAATAAAGGACCGATAGGACCGTAGGTATCAATGCTACCGGCCGTAGCCATCATTTGACCAAGAGTAGCGGTAGGAGATCTAAATACCATCAAAAAATCACTAGAATTCTTATAGGTCGCGAAATCTACGTGTCCAATACTCGAAGAAGACTGAAAAGGTAATAGGCTAGTTTCTAATATAACAACATCACCGGAGATTGTTTTAAAACCCATCGAACCACTTGTGGTGGCTTTTTGAAACAAGCCTTGAGCGACCTTATATTGTGGTGAAGCCATAAATGCCTGAACCAGCTGTTCTTCACTTTTTATATTTTGTACATCAATCTGGAATTTATTTAATTCATCAGTTTGTGTTGTCATTTGAATTCCATCTGCCGTCAAAATCATAAATTTATCAAAGATTAATTCCAGGAATTGTAATGATGAACCAGCAGGTGCGTTTGGTTCTTTGGGAATAACTCCCCCTGGAGCTTTTGACGATGCATCGTCATCTGTTATTCCCGCAATAACAGGCGTCAATGCATTGATACCAAACAAGTCATCCCACGCGGTTGTAAACCCTAACCCATGAATCAACTCATGAGTTACAACTAGTAACATATCAGCTTGTCTTTCTGGCATAGGCAATGGATCCCCTTCAAACCAATAATTTGCGGCGGAATTAAATACTGCCATGATTTCATTTGGTCCAAATTGTGGATGTGACGGTAACCCCAATTGTTTGTATAATGCTTGTGGGTATAACCTTACTTTATCGGCCGTTTCGTCTTTATACGGAATTACCATCGCTGGCCCTGCCGCCCCCAAGATCACTTTATTCGGGTTATTACAATCTATTCCTGGTGCGATGTTAACTTCACAAAAATTTAAAAATGTCGCATTCACGGATATTACTGCTTTTAGATTTAGCGTCGCTGTTATAAACCTTCCTGCTGTAACGAATACGTTTTCAACTTTACTACACAATGCTTTATCATTAACCAAACAATTAAATTGCACGTTAAACATATTATCTGATGCCGGTGGAGTTGGTAATTGTCGCTTTTGTGCGGGTGATGCCATTAGACAATCAAAAACTCTATTTTCCTTCGAGTTAAGCGGATTTAAGTATTGTATGCATTTTTCCGATGATACGGTATGCGTTAAACATAATCCTATTAGGATGATGAACAAAGTCGTCGATAAATTTTTCATTTCTCAAAAAAATTGGTTTTCTTTTTTTAAAATAAGGCTTACTTAATAACGTATGCAAGCCAGATTAAATTTTTTTTTTAAAAAAAAAAATAAAATCTAATACTATAAGAATAATTATAATTAACTAATATATATCATCGAAGAGAAAGATTTTTTTTTTTAAAAAAAAAAAAAAGAAAAAAATAGGGGGTCCAAATGTGTATGTGTATTGTAATAAATAATATTGAACAAATATTTGTGAAATTTAAGATTCGTTTGTAAGTCTTTCACTTTTATATGCAGTCGTACCCAATGCAATTGCCAAGAAAAAAAACGGATGTTGTGGTACCTTGTTTTGGAAATTTGTGTTCATCATTCCGGGAGCTTTTCCTTATAGAAGAAACAAATAAAGATGAGACGCCTTAAAACTTTATTATATATTTTATATATAAATATAGTAACTCTCACTCAACATTAACTCGTGATTTCCAAGAATATTTCAAATATCAAACAAATAGGGCCAAACGTGACGCGTATTGCTTGGCATTATTCAAATCGAGTAGGAATATTTTTACCTTTTTTATTTTTTAAAAAAAAAAAAAACCAAAATCGAGAAAAACAGACAAGGTACCATTCCTAATATGCTATGATTCAAAGAGATCGAGATGAATTTGCTTTTTAACCATATAAAACTAGTTTCTGATATTATTAAATTTATTAAAATGATGTATTTAAATGTACTAGATTTAAAAGAACAGGTTTTGTTAATTCCCGGGTCAAAGTTGTAAACATGGGCCAAAATGTAGTTGATTGACGATGATACATTTTTGGTAGTATTTCAAGCAAAAACTCATAGGGGCTGAAGCTTTCTTGGCGCGACCATCTAATAATAACTTGTCGTTTAGAAGTTGCATCATTCGACCAGATGAAGTATAGTTTGTATGTGAAATATCGGTTATATATTCCGTTGCCGACAACACACCTTTTGTTGTGAATGCCCTCTATTAAATTATATTATATTTTGAAGACTTTACTAAATGTTTCTTAGAGAGATGAGTTTTATTAATCGATTTGAAGGATCGCCGATTTGAACTTGTATAATACAGGAATTCATTTGTCAAATTTATAAGTCATTATATTGTCATTTTGCCAATTAAGTCTATTATATATTATATATTATTCTTTTTAAAATCTAATCATTGTTCCATTCTGAATTACTGATGAGATGATCCATTGCTTCCGTCATACAAACGAAAATCCTTCGAGCGTACAACTAGCTGCAATCAGTCAATACTTTTACATAAAATCCTATTTTTCAAAATTGTTAATTCATTTGATCTCTTTTAAGAGAAGCAGTTTCATAAATTAAAATAATTTAGTGTAAATTTGATTTATAGCACGTTTCTTTTAAAATGCATAATTATAAAATAAATACCAAGAAATCATTTCCCGTTTCTCCGTAATTTGATAATCCGAGTTACTATTTTGACTTAATTTTTGATAACCAGAATTCCTATCGCATCGCTCGATTTAAATTTTATATGCATCAACATAATTATTTTAAATCCGCTACTAATTAATAATCAATTAATTTATTATACCTACTATCAGACGATCAAAGAATGAAACCCGATCAGTATTCGAACCCTTTCAAGGCTAGTTTATGATTGATTCCGGTAGAATGTAATTAACGAATTTGTTAAATTTAGATTAACAATTGGAAAATCTAAAAATACATTTAATATGATTGATTGTAATTATGTAGAAAGTAATTTAAGTAAAGACAATGAATAAGTTAATTTGGTTTCATATGCAATGATTGATATTTTAAGTTATTAATGTATATAATTAATATTTTGTCTTTTCATAAATTTTCATATATTCTTGGATTTAATAATTTTTTTTTTTCATCTTCATTCGAACTTCTTTTATAATCTTTAGAATATAGTTATGTAAATTACTTTGAAATTTATTTAATGATTGTAAATATTTTTTTATTATTCTGTAGATAACGAACGAAACAAATGTTCAGTTGTTTTTTTTTCATTTAAATTTTTATTGTTTTAAAGTATGTGAACCTTATTGTTAATATTGCAAAACAGATATTTAGTTTATTGTTATTTAAGTATCGGAAGTTTAAAGATCTAAACCTGCACTTTTGAAACGTTATTTTGTTTTTATCAAGGTATACAATAAATAATTTTGCTTAATTTCAAACATTAGCTTTGATGCCGTTTTCCATATCAATGCCGTTTGAAATTTTGTACTTTTGACTTTAGAAATTATTTGAATAAAACTTTATTAGATATAAGACGTAAAAAAAACTTTTGAAATAATTAAATATGCAAATATTTAATATATAAATTTAAATATTTTAATTATTTTATATTAACGATATTCACAAAATATTGTAAATAAATTTTATTTATTTATCTATAGATAAAAAAAAAAATAATAAAATAATAAAAAATAGAACATTATGAAATTAATGTTCAAAAAACTAGAATTTCACTTTTTCAAGACAATGTCAAGAAAAATGATGAGTAGATTAAGGGTAAGTCCGAAAGATTAATTTTTTTTAAATTCTTTTTTATTTATTTTTTTTTTTTTAATTTAAAAAACTTACCTTGTAGAACCTCTAACCGTGAAAACTTTGGATAAAGGTAAGTCTGATTGATTTTTTTTTAATTATATATATATATATTTTTTTTATAAAAAACTTACCTTATAGATCCAATCCAGAACCTCTAATCTCGTGAAATCTTTGGATTAGAGGTAAGTCTGAAAGAATTTTTTAATTCTATATTTTTTTTTATTTAAAAAAACTTATCTTATAGATCCGATCTGAAACCTCTAACCGTTAAAATCTTTGAATTAGTGGTAAGTTTTTAATTATATATATATATATTTTTATTTTTTTTTAAAAATTTAAAAACTTACTTTAAAAGATCCGATCCTAAACCTCTAACCGCGTGGAATCTTTAGATTAGAAGTAAAGTTCAAAAGATTTTTTTTTTTTAATTATATATGCCGCCTAGACAAAAGTATCCAAACACTTTCGAAATTGATAATCAGAACACAAACTTTGAGTATTTACTGTTTTACGAATTTCAGTTACCTTTGTGCCCCCTTTAAAAAAATATTTTATTATTTTTTTCGTTAAAATGCCTAAATCCAAAGAACTTAGTGAATCTGAGCGTAGTGAAATTGTTGGTCTATCTAAGATAAATTTAAGCGTTAGAAAAATTACAGCAGTGTTTTTCAAACAAAAGTCCACTGTTTGAGATGTTATACATAAATA